TTTTTTTTTTATTTTATCTTCCAGAACAGTCTTCTGGTCAGGTGCTGCTGTATTGGGGAAGAAAAGTATATAATGACAATGTGTTACAGTTGTCTCATTCAGCTCATACACTGAAATTGGATGTCCTTAAACAAAAACACTTAATAATTCATATTCCTGTCTTTGGCAGCCTGCACACATGCACAGCACATAATTATCTTCTTGTCAAGGATTCAAACAGCTGTGTTGGTCAGGAAAACAAAGTTGTAAAAACACTAAAGCTATCAAGTTTCACAATAGCTATCCACTGCAGTGCGCTGCCAAACATATTTATATTTATTCCTAGAAAAACAAGAACCACTTTAGCAAAAGTCGACAGAAAACAACACAGCAGGCCAGCCAAGACTCTAAACCAATACAAACTGACTGCGTGCCTGATGGAAGATATCTTTGACACTGTTGGCTCACACAATACCTGCACATATGGCACAGAAGGAACATTTAGCAGTTTTCAAATAGGATCATCTGCCATTCGAAAAAAAACAACAAAAAAACAAATGTTTAGGCTTGTTTAGAGCTTTTCTGAATCATCTCTGGCCGCTACTGGTGTAGTCTTGGCGCTGGGTATTGTTCATTTGTACTGGGACAGACTCAGCTAGAGAGTGGTCGCAGGTGGCTTTTGAGACTTTATTAGGAGCATTAGGCTTTCAAGGGAACTGTTCCCTCAAGGCCAGGCACATGCATTTTGTGACATGATCCGTTAAGGAAATCAGTGGAAGAAATGCCTAATTCATTTTTCTGGCAAGTCGAATGCCCTAATAAGATCCAGCTAAAAGGCTTTCAGTGTGGTTCATGCTCAGTCAGAACAGGCAGCTTCACTGGGTCCACAAAATGTAAACTGAGTGTGATGAACAGCAGTTTTGTCTCTCTCTGGTCAGCAAATTTAATTGCAGGAGGGTGAGCTCTTTTCTTAGATGAAATGTGTAGTCTCCTGTGACTATTTTAATTCTGCAACATCTGTGTGTCCTGAAATGATTAATAGTGTATAGTGTATCTTTTGGCTATGGGTAAAATGTGAAGTGAAGGGAATGAATGTCTGAGGGACTACCAGTGTTTTTTTGCAGTCAAGCCTCTGCCATATAACAGGTGAAAAGGATTTTAATAGGATAGCAAAAATCAATGTAATCATAAGATCAATGTACATAATCTTATGTAATCGATTTGTAATGTTATGTAATGTCGAATTTATCGGAAAAGCTCTACACAGTTATGAGAGGTTGTGGGTGGTAGATGGAGAGCAGGACAGTTCATGTATGTATGCATGTAGGCTACTGTATATGCTTAGAGGGTAAGTTTTGGTATAGCGAAGGCCACATTACAGTCTGGATAAAAGCTTAAACTGAGATCATATCACTTTTGTTGACGAAAAAAACCTTGTACAGTTTCTATAAAATAATTTAAGTCTGAAAAACAAACTGAACAAGAATGTGTATTGCGTCACTCACATGCTTGTGTGAGCAAACAAAGCGGACTAGCTTGTAAAAACATTGCTACAAGTGGTCTAAAAACTCTATAGGTTACTTTTAACATGCAAGCAAATAATATACAGAGAATATACTCACCAATACTGTCTCTTTTCCTCTTTTATAACTTTGGTCTTTCTTGTTAGGAAGCTTCACAGATCAGCTGACAACTCTGAGCTTGACAACTTAACAACATGAACACTGTGCAGTTTACTGACACATCACATTACTTTTAAGTACTGACGTTTGAACCTCTCAGTTAACTCTAATGTTGTGATTCCAACATGCCTAATGTGGCTTTGCAACTACCACAACCAGAGATATATTACAAGCATCAGCTCCCCAGTAGACAGGATATTCATCTGCCACACACTGTACATAACGCTTAGTAAATAATATGGTCTGTGTAATGAGCTCTGTATGATATTCTGTCATCATAAATACTGGATAAGTACTACTGTGGACAACCATGATCATCACTGTCTACAGTCAACCCTCTACATTGTGCAGTGATCCTCTTTTCATTGCCATAGTCTTGTGGAAATGTCTTCAGTCGATGTTGTGTTACCGTAGACAGCCCCGCACAGTATTTCCATCATCATAAAGTAAAGTCTTTTCTGTAAGATGCCCTGGACAGGGGCAAAAAGCACTGAGTTGTCCAACTGTCCTGACACAAGTCATTGTTGATTTCACTGTTGTAGGGGAAAGACTCTAGGGCTGCAGATAAGACTGTTGCCATGGTCCTGAAGGAGATACCAAGTAAGGCGTCATCAGAAGGGAAGCCCCTCCTCACAGTGACTACCAAGGTGGGCAGAACCATTTCAGAACACCCCCCACCCCCACCCTCTCTCCGCCCTCCTCCCCTGCCTCCAAGTGGAACGTCCTCCTGTGTTGGTCATACTGAACAATAGCAAAGCTTTGAGTGTCCTATAACTGACCTCCACTGTCTACTAACTCATTACTTAAGCCTTATGACTGTTGTATCTAACATAGAAACAACAACAATTCATTTCCAGCTGCTCTATGGGGTATAAAACCCTTCTACTACATCGCCACACTTACACAAATAGTGAATAATGATTTTATGATCTACAGAAGCAGCCACAAATTGCTGCAATTACACGTTACGTTTTATCTTTTCAAATTAGCCTCTGAAAGATTCATAGTGCTCTTCAAGTTAACATTTATTTGCGCATTTTGTATGTATGGGGGGGGGGGGGNNGGGGGGGGGGGGGGGGATTAACCAGAGGGTCACACACATTTCCTCTCCCATTCCAAATCAGGTCAGAAAAACTCTCACAAACTTTTTACACCTCATAAGCAGCTAATCCTCCGCACAAAACAGTGTATGAATGCATTTCCAAAATGCTATGCTACACAGCATGGCATTGAGCTATTGATTGAGCCCTCTGTGAACAAAATACTGCAGCAAATTACTGTTTACCTGCTGCTGAGCTTTTCACTCCTCTTTTGCTTTTTAAGTGTTATAGCTGGATGGGGTCGGTGCTTCAGATGCTAAATATGAGTTTTCTTGCTCTGTGCTTGATTGCTTTTGTACAGTATGTGTGTGTGTCTGCTGCTGTGTGTGTCCTCTTGTATATCTGTCTGTGTTTTAATAACATGTAGCATGCTTTATACTTGTTTGACTTTCTAATATAATGTTTGGTTTGATAAGATGTCATACAACCAAGATAATGCTTCCAGTCAAGCGGAAGAGTTTTCATTATGCCTCAGCACTTTTGCTGACAAAATGGAAGCTGCTGAGTTCACACAAACAAGATACGACTTGTATATTATTAGAAGTATATAGTTCATTTTGTAATGTGTAAATCATGATTTGTCGTAATTTGAATTATTGTATGGCAAGTCACTGAAGAACTGCTCTCTACAATAACTTTAGTAGTTTCCTCGCATATATATCTTATACTTTATGTCAGGAGCCTAATGCACTTATACCTCAAGCCTTTTCTTCCGGTGCATCTATTGAATAAACACAATAGATTAGATTGCCTGAAGATTCTGCTTTTTCAGAAAAATCAATATTATCGACACAACGGGCCTATAATTACACGTTTATAACATTTAACCACCTGCAAAAATCCATACTTTTATCCTTCAGAGAACACAGTGACAGGATCGACAAAAAACATAACCATGTGCACTTTACTGCACCTTGTCTGATTCTTACAGCACAGTAGTGATTAAATCATTATCCAGGTTATGAAGGTTTTCAGAAAATATCAGAAAAGGCATTTCTTCAGGATAAATCTTCTGGTTCACAGGAATTACATAATGAGTTGCATTGAGGAGTTCCATTATGCTCATGCAGTGATAGATACCACAGTTCAACAGAGGAACAAAGGAAAGGCACCTTTAGAAACTCGGATTTCATTTGCACTAATTTGCATAATGCACTAAACATAAACAATGTTTTTAATAGACATTTATATAGTGTGCGTATTTTCATGACCAGGGCTATCATAAATTGTTAACATTATGGATCTCTTACTAACTACATTTACTCATATTGCATTTTTCACTAATTATGTATAAAGTGACAATAGCTGCAACCCTCACAAGGCATGTGCAACACTTTAAATATCTTTTCTAATTTTTGTTGTATGTGTCTTTGGTGTACCAGTGTATTGTTTTGTTGGCTACATATTTTATTTAAGTTAAGTGCAGCTGTGTGTAGCACTGTTACCTGTTCCCAAATTTCCCCTTGACGACAATTAAGTATGTTTTATCTTACAATCCAACCAGAAAAAACCAACACGCCAAAAGCTAAGTTATATTGTTTTAAACAATCAACATGATAAAGGGAATATACGCACTATATTGGCTGTAAAGATTTACCGACATAGGTACGTGGACGCCTGGATTTATTTAAATGTACCATTAATAGGTCGATGATACGATTCTAAATCAATGAATCGGTTGACTGAAGCTTTGCTGCTAACAGGTGAACGCGAGGGTCTTGCAACAAGAGGCAACAAGAGGCTACACTGCCTGGCCCCAAACAATGGCAATACATTAAAATCCTTGCTATTTCAGTAGAACAGCACATCCCATTTAAAAACACTGTGACTCTAAAATTCTGTGTTTTAGAAACGAAGAAAAATAGCTTCGTTTTCAAACTGATGACAATGTTATGACATTTAAATAGGCTTCAAACACGTTTTATTAGCCTACAGTAAAATGCTGTAGACTGCTTGTAATCCTTTAACATACCTGCAAACCTGTCATCGCTGTCAAGTGACGGCTCAGAACTGTAGCACAAAAACAACAACAAACTACAGGGATGCCTCCAAAAACCAAAATCTTGAAAATGATCACAGTTCAGACCGGCCCGTTGTATGCACTACACAAACTCTTCATCACATGCAAGCACACACTCCGGAGTAAGCAGCTGTTGCAAGTCAGCATTGTTTTGCTAAGAGCAGTTGGTAAATATTTTATGCCGGGTTAGCAAGAGGGCGAGTAAAGCAAGCATCAGGAAAAAAAATTTTCATTATGTAAAAAAATTCTATGAGTCACCTATCGCTTGGTTAAAACCATTTAAAAAGCAAACACAAAATTGACGTAACGTCGTTTCCATGTGGCCAGACACAACTCATGATTGCTATGCTCTCCAGTGGCTGAGGATGCAGTTTGAGGGGCATCATGTCCAAACTTGATGTCACATAGCAAGTGACAGAGGCTAAGTGACAGGCTGTGGCTCATCACGCCACATGTCAAGTTTGTAAAACCCAATATCACACACAATATCTCAAAGGGCTTCACAGAGTCAGAAGTCTCAGCCCAGTCCAAGATCTCTGAGAAGATAGGGAAAATTCAAAGAAAGCCGAGAACATTAAAAAATGGAAGCAGCATGAAACAAGACTTCATTTAACTATCTATTATTGTGTTAACTGTCATCCCCCATTCCTTGGTGCCACTGAGGAGGAAGAGAAAATAGTATGTGAAGACAACCCTTACTGTAATTTTCAACTCAGATGTCCCAAATTTACTAAAGAGTAAATGTGCTGCTAGCTGTGAAACACATAACTTAATCTGTGCAAAATCAAACCACACTTTACTAGGAATTTAAGGATTGTATTATTGTATGTAGAATTGATTTTCTGCTTAAAGGATAAGGCTGGTGAACAAATGCCCTATTTGGTCCTGTTTCAATGATAAAACTATTACAATAAAACTGTATGTTTGTGAACAGAAGAACAGTAGTCGTCGCTATACTTTTTCACAATTTAATTTGAGATTTTTCTGCCTAAGGACAAATCACGGAAAGTCATTATGATGAGTCATAAAATACCCAGCTAACTGAACTCCAGTATGCAGGCCCGTGGGAGTACATGGAACAGTTCATTGCCACCCACAATAACAGCTTCAACACAACTGTAATGAGTAAACAACCTGCTGCATAATAGAGAAGATTTACAAAGATATCAGAATCAAGAAAACACAGTTTAGCATATTTTTTTTTTTTTTTTTTTAACAGATGCTGAAGAGTTAACTGTGATATAATTGCTGATCACATCTATTCATGTGACCCACAAGTACTGAAAGATGTTGGCTGTAATTATTGTTTCAGGACAACATTCTTTAACAGCCCCCAGGTTTTATCTAACAACTGCTTTGATATTTTTTATCCACTTTTCCCTTTATGTAGTGTTTTCCATCCTCTCCACCTCCTCCTGTCCTCACCTCAACCTCCCCGCCTTCAAAGCTCTGTCAAGTTTAACTGGTACACAGTTCCCTTAACAGCAACATCTGAGAGATCTCTGGGAGTCAAGCCCAAGCGGCACAATTAGCTGAAGTTTTCCATTACATAATTTTCTAGATTACTCCTTAAAGCAATGGTAAACAAAGTGCCAAAGTGCTTTGCATAGGAGAGAAGCAAAAAGGTGTAACAGGAGGAAAAATAGCAGTATGGGAAATCGGTAACCCTCCTCATAGTGAGAATAATGGGCAAGGAGCTCAGAAAGCTGCTCTCTTGGGTTAAGAGTGAACCTATAATTGGCATTTGCATGCTACCTGCTACCAAAGTGCCTGACGCATCTCCCCAGATGAATGCGGTAGATCTTCTGTCCCCATTTTCTGGATGATTAGAAGAGGAAAATGCAGAGTCTCATCATTGCAAACCCATTATTTAAAATTGGCCCCAATGGCAATCAGGAAATGCTTTGAAGAACATCCACGACAATCATGTAGTGTGTAGTGCGGATAACACAGTGACCTCCATTAGGACATTGCCTAGAAGTGATGTACAGATATATCCTTGATTCCTACAGATATTACTTAACTTTCAGGCCTAACGTAGCAGTGAAGTGTGAGCGCTTTATTATTCATTATCATTATTAAAAATAGCCATTATTAAAGCACTGTGTCAGTCATTATGAAGGTCTACAGCCCTGCTAGCCACTCTGTGAGGCTGTGCTTGGATACAGCAGTTCTCTGTGCTAAATCCATCAATATGCTAACATGCTCACATGACAATGCAAGCATGCTAATGTTTAACATGTTTAACGTGCTCTACCATCCCTTGAGTACCTGAGACGCTGGGCCTCATGCTAGAACCACTGGTACAAACATATTTGTTCTTAAGTGGCTTGTACAACTGATTTAGGAGAACTTGCGGACGTTTCAGCAATTTTCTCTTATTTTGAATTTTGTCTTAGTTACAAGTAAGTGGTTCAGACTACTTGTATTCTTTTGTCTGTCTCTGTTGCGGACTTCTTCTTGGAATGGTTTGATATACTTGTGCAAATTTTCAGTTCTCATGAACGCACGCTCCATTAGGCAAAGG